TCAGCTGTTTTAGTGACACATCCCTACATTGACAAGTGAGCTCAGGTGGATGATTTTAGGGCCTTTAAATTAAAAACAGATTTCTCTTTTCATTTTAATATGAGCTTCATATATAGATAGTGCCATATATAGTGCCTAAAGTTGACTGGTGTGAATATTTTTCTCCCTCCCCTCTGGCCAAACCTGCTAACTAAAGTAGGCCACACACAGCAGTGACCACAGCTTCAAAAGGTGAACGTATAGCTATGTATATGAAGCTATTTTCAGGCACTTTAACTGGGTGGCCTCATTTTTGGAAGTTCTGAGTATGCCCCACTCCAGATATGTACATCCTCCATAACTTCCAAAAAACAAAGTGCAAACTACTTTCTTTGCTGTTGAATTGTAAGAACCCAGGTTTCTACTCAACAATAGACCTCTGATTTCTGATAAAACACCGCCCACACACATTGCTCGACATCAGAGGCAGTGTACGTATATTTGGAAAAGAGGTTCCTGCCTGGAAAAACGTGGCATCTATAGGGAAGAGACAGGCAGACAAGTGTCAGGAGAAGAAGGAGATGCACAAGGGTGGCGTGCTGTGCCTGAGGTCATGAAGCAAGTCAAAACCAGCACCAAGCAGAAAACCCAGCCACAAATCAAGTGCCTTACCCATTACATCATGCTGAGCCACTCTCCCAGGCACAAAAGATACATGCAGTTGTTCAAGAGGTATTTCTAAGACAGAGACTCAGAATCTAATAAAAAGAAATGCAGGGAAAAGCGAACGGTGCAGTGCTCTGTTCCTTAGTACTGCCCAAAATCAGAAAGGAGCGCACAGCAACAGCATCTCATGTAATAATAAACAGTCAAACATATATGAATTCAATTCCACCCTGCGATGAAAATATCACAGCTAAATGGTTTTGTATTGTTTCGACTGTCCTCAGGGAATAATTCCCCTATTTCAAAAAAGATCATTAGGAGAGAGAGGAATTCAGGAACCACAACTAGGTTCATATGAGAACTCTTAAAACCACTTTAAAAAAAAAAAAAAAAAAAAAACAGGTGAAAATATTTATAGAAATGAACTTCAGGGTCTGCAATATCTGAGGCTCAACCACTGAAGAAACTTTTAGTCAGAAAGTTTCAGGCAACAGAAAAGGGAGCTGAATTTTATATGTAAGCATTAACTAGACAGAGCACCTAGCGCATAGCAAGTTGATCAGTTTTGATTTTAATTCCTTCAGTTTAGATTATTATTATTACATTTAAAAGCCTTTAATCTTTAAATAAAAAGGCTATATTCCCAAGCCTACTCACAGTGATTATCTGTAATCATCTTAAGCATAATTTAAGAAGTCAGATCTTGAACTCCGAGGTTGTAAGATGACAGCTTTTCAAGACGGTTTCAGAGAATTTAGTTATTTTTCATGAGGTTGAAGCTTCAAAAGGCTGACCCAGCTCCAACCATACAATAATCTGCAAAAATGAATTTTGTTAAATAATGTTCCTAATCTTTCACTAAACATTACAGAAGCTGAACTAGAATACTTTTGTATCACAAGTCATTCTTCACTGATAAGTAAACAAAGCCATACAGCTGCCAAGAGAACTCAACTGCCACGCCAAAAAAAAATCTTTTCAGTGATTTATTTCAAGATAGACCTGCCAGCTATGTAGGACACAAGCAGTGAGCGCAAACTTTATTTTTGAAGTCTTTTTTCAAAAGACTTAGAAGTGAAGGTTTCAGAATGACTAGGTCTTTTCGAGCTTGCACTCAAAATAACAGAGAACAGGAAAAAGAGGAAGTCACAGCCCTGATTGGACTATTTCTGCAAAAAAAAAAAAATCCATGAAAATCAATGCTAAAATAGCTTTTCATATACGTATATATATTTTTAGAAGAGAGTCCCACTTCCTTCCAAGGGAGATATCACTATCTGAACTGAAAAAAACAAAGGCATCCACTGTTAGCTGCATCCTACCCTGTTACACGGTGGGGTCAAGGTGAATCCTGGAGCAGGTTGCCTGGAGTGGTCATTCAGCCTCCTTCCATGGAGATATAAAAGCCCAGCTGGACATGGTCCTGCTTGGAGCAGTGGGGGGACTAGATGATCTCCAGAGACCCCTTCCAGCCTGAAGTTCTGTGAACCCTGTGTTTCCACAAGTGGCAGTGGAAAGAGTGGTTAGTGCCAGTCGAGGACCTGGAAAGTTCAGGTTCAGCTCCATGCTTGGCACTAAACTGCACATACAACTCTTCCCTGCTTGTAGTTCTCACTGTTCATTTAAGGGCTACAGACTGCAATAGACAAAGCTTGCAAAAAAAATAAAATAAATAGACAAAGCTTGCAAAAGGCAAAGCTTGGGCCACAAAACATCTTTCCAGACCGTTCTTGCGAGGCTGGATCACAATGCTTATTATTCAGATATTTGACTCCATAAAGAGCATGGAAAGGACTTCCAGAAATCCTAACAATGTCCAGGTGCCCAGTTTTAGGCACTTCATATAGCTGATTCTGTTTTGCAGGCCATATGGAGAATTCACAGTTGACAAGCATTAACTTGGATATCTGAAAGATAATTTCATTCAAAGTCAAGCTGTTTGTATAACACTGTGCCCTACTGCTGCAGAACACGGTCACCTCAGCAACATCCGACGTTTCCAGCGATGCAGGCAACACGGAGCAGGATTCAGCATTGTGCAAAATGGAAAGAGCAGAACACATGTCCATCTTCCCTTCAGCCCAACTGGCATGAATCTTTAATTATACAGTTCTATTAAGGTGTACAGGCTTAAATGAAATGCAAACTGAAGATCATAAATGAAGACTACTTTGTTTACAACAAAATGAAGACTACTTTGTTTACTTTATAACGTAATTCAATTAGAGGTTAGGATTACCTGAATCCAAAACTGCCCTATAAATGAGATGATGAAATTTAAAGGTTTTCAAAAGCAGAACATTCCTCCTTACACATGTATTGAACCCACCAGAGCTTATGGCATTCCTTTGGAAGAGGGAATCCCTTGCACTGAGCTTAGTGCACCACATCACGTTTGTATCCTCTGATAAAATGGGTTCTTTTCCTTGCAGCTACATACTAGGATATTATTCTTGGTAGTGACTTTCTTCTGAAATTCCAGAACAAAAAAGATGCAACTGTTAAGACCTTATGCTATTTACAGATGTATTACTTCTTGTTTGAGCTCTCAAAGTGCTCATTGCCTTGGGATATGACATGACAGCTGCAGAGCAGAAAACAGTTTAGCAGGTGAAAACAAGGAGGGGAAAAAAAACACCACAAAGTCTAGAGGGATGCAGCTTTTTTTTGGTCTTCCTGAATTTCTCACCGCAGATGATTACATGTGGGAATACAGAGGCTGGTCTACTTGGACCAGGGCGAGAAGTCAGCCAATTATTCATCTCTCTTGAGATTTCCCCTCCTAAGTACAAAGTCGGTTCAAGGTCTCTACCGTAATATTTCTGATGATGAGAAAAAAATAAGCGGAGATGTAGCAGGGCACTTGGGGTGGGTGTAGATATGGTCACCTAATATTAAAGCAGCCAGTGGAAATGGGTGATGCCTTTTTCTACTTCATTCCTAAATTTTATTAACAGCTTTTCTTTAACATGTCAGTTTTAACTGACACTTTAACTCTTCCTTAAGGAAGAAAAATTTACTCTTTTTTCTCACCAGTTTGACCAGAGAAGGCCATGATATGTGCAATCCAAAGTCCTTGGAAACACTGGATGCTCTCCTGAGTATAATGTTCCCAGAGATATAACACCAACAACAATATCAATAACAACTTAAGGAAAAACAAACAAACAAACAAACCCATCCTGAATCTCTCTGCTCCTAGAACAAAAACCAATCCCTTCCTCAGAGTACAGGTCTCCCTTAGAACCTGTTTCCCACTCACACACAGCAACAACCACTCCAGAAAAAAAGTCCTTTTAAACTAACTGCACGTTTTCTTGTAAAGAGATTCCAAAGCATATGGGAGAGTGCTGCAATTATTGGTCATACTTTTACATACTTGAGAGGGTCATAAAGTCACTACTTATGAGGCCAGGCAGGTCAGATGCAAACAATACATCTATAAATTCCACAATTATAAAAATACAAATTGATGAACTTCTTAGGTGCCCATGAAATAGTGCTAACACAATTGTAATGGCAATTGCAGTAACACCACATTAGAACATAGTTCAGAAATGCAATTTCCCTAAATTATAGTCATCTAACGTATGAAACAGTTGCTTCAAGAGCTGATCTAAAACTGAACAAAAAAGCCAAGAAATATTTCAAGAAAATGGCAATAGAAGAAATAGAAAAGGAGTGAAAGACTCACTTAACCTAACAGTTAACATGGTAAGATGATACCATTATTCAGGTTAAGAGGCATGACCTCCAAATATGGGATGGCAACTCTAATGATACCAATTAAAGGCAACAGTCTGTGTCAGGTAGCCAGCCAACACCAGAAGAGCATTTAATGTTTCTTCCAAGCAATTAACTTGAGCATGCTTCCAGCTTCCAGCCTTTCTCAAACATCTTAGCTCTACTTAGAATTTAATTTCTTTCAGTCTTTTCCAAAATATTTTTTTTTCTTCCATAAATCCCCCCAAAATTCAAGCCTTCTGATGAAGCCTAAGGATTCTTATGATAAGCTGTTAAGCTTGTCGAGTTATTTCAATTTACTAGCATGCACAGAAAGAATGTTTTCCAGGAGCTTTCTGGGGTTACTCACTGTAGTAAATACACTGTCCATTAAACCCACATCGTGTTCTTAACCGGATGTAAACCTCCTTTACATACTTTGAAGAAGAGCACTGGAGTCCAGAATGCAATCCTGTGACACTGGAATGCTTCGGTGTTTGTGCTCCCATGGAGCTAAAGAATGTGAGAGGCCCAAAACCACTATTTGACACCTCACAGCCAACCTCCAGAAGCCAGCTGCTTCCCTACAAGTCACAATAAAAGCCTCCTGGGAGAGCAGGCAATTGGCCTACCTTGCATGTATGCCTCTATTTGCCGAATGAGCTCGTAAGACTTGGATCGGTCCAGAAGTGTCCGAATAGCCGGAAGAGGGTCCAGGATGATGGTTTCTGGATGAGCATCAATATACTCCTGCAAAACAAATACAAAGGAAAAAAAAAAGGTATTAGGTTGGCTGAAGACTGTGGAAAATACTGAGATGGAGAAGAGAATAAAGTTAAAAACCCCAGTCAACGTCCAGCTTCTCTGCTAGAGGAGGCAAAAGTAAATTGGCAATGCAGAAAGTGACCAGACAGTCTAGACACTGACATTTGAAACAAACACAAACATGACAGCTCACTCTTTCAGGATGGCAAATTCCTCCTGTAGACTCACCATCAGCAGTGAAACCTGTGCTGCAACCCCATCAACTCAGAAGGGAGCCAGTGGCAAAGTGCCACAATAACAGCTGTGAGCAGGGCAAAGAAGAGCAATTAGGAGAAGAAGGATGACATGCTGCTATCTTGGGGTCAGCCCTGTATTGAGTTACTCCACATGAACATCAAAACTGCCTGAGCTAAGCTCAGAACTACATCTGTGTTCTTTAATGTTGTTATTATTGCTGTCCTCTAGCTGTGCTGAATGCTGTATCACAAGCTGAATGATAAAGGATAGATTTTTTTTTGGCTGAGCTGAGAAGATTGCTGGTTTACTGTGTCTTCATTGAGGTCTCAAAGCACCCATCTTGCCATTTTTATTAGCTCATACTCTCCTCACCACAAAGCAAAGTAACGTTCCCATGGATGTCCTCCTTGCAAACTCAGGCTCCCCATTCCCTGAAGTCATGACTGCACTGCTGCATCTTGGCCATGAACGTATAGACAGCTGATGGTACCGCCCTTGAAAACCCACCCATGGCTACAAAACCTTCTTCTATTTCTCTGACCAGAAGCCTAGTTCCACTTTTTCATCCTTGCCTGAACTTGACCTCATAAAGTCAATGGATAAACAAGAATCCATTTTATCCCATCCAAAATAGGACAAACATTTCTGAAGTTAGCATCTGGCTTTGTTTAACCCAGCATCTGAAAGCCATCTTTACATTTCCATTTGTTTAAATCTATTCACGTACACCCATGGTAAATGCCCCTGCGAGTCCTACACTTTCATGAAAATCTACTTCCTTTTTTTGGTTGCTTCAGAGAAAAAAAAACATGCTCCAAAAGACACTAAGGAGTATGATGAGGTGGCCACAGGAGATGCACTTTGCTAGGCACTGAGATGGGAGAGAAAAGACTCATGTCCCCAGCAAATTATGATCTTCCAGACACTAACTGGGGAAGCAGTTCTCCCCTGGCACCCAGCACTGGCAAACTCTCTTGCTGCTGACTGCAGAGTCTGGGCTGATGGCTTGCTAAAAAGGGATTATTCTCTTGAGGCTAAGAGGATCCAGTGCTGTGGTTTAGTGAACCCACTGCATCAGCCACAACATAGAAGTAGCTTTCCTTCACAGGGCCACAAGGCACACTTCAGCTGCACTAGATGTCTGACAGAATAAACAACCCCTGCAGAACAAATAAAGTGAATTATATATTATTATATATCCCTAAAGATATGCTCAGCTTTGCTGCTACCTGGGAAAGGTGAGGGACAGAGCCTTTCCCAGGGACTGTCACCACAAGCATCAGGCCCAGCTGCTGCCTCACCCTTGCAGCGTCCCCTCTGGCTCCCTGGAGCACAAGCTGGGTTCGTTTCAAGTCATCAGCACTGTGAACAGTTTTCATTAGTCTCCTGTCCCCAATACTTTCAGAGTTTCAAGCAAAGCAGTCAGCTTCCACATACAGAAGAGATTTGCTTTTTGGAGAGAGAAACTTGTTACTAACGCTTCTCAGAGCCCTGTGTGTGTCCGTGCACTCAGGCACTTCCACACCGCCAGAAGACACCTTGTGAGGCTGGGATGATCCCGTGATTAGGGCATTAGTTTAAACTTGCTGATCATGAAACGTTACTTGGAGTATCTCAACACATCTACACGGCTCCTTCAGCCCCTCTATGCCTCATCTGAAGAGTTTGGAAGCTACCACACATCGGGCAGCTTTGTGAGCAGAGGGACGGGGTGGTACACGAAGGACGGCCAACATGGTGCTGGGGGGCCGTGTAAGCACACAGCAAACAGAGTGAGACCTACAGTTCCGCAACCTGATCCCAACACGGATCTAACAGCAAACATCCTGCAGTGTTTCTGACGGGTGTACTAGCTCTTCCTTTTGTACTGCAGTGACTGCCCCTCTGCCCTGGCTGGTCCTGATTCCGCACTGAATTTAAGCTCCACTCTGCCCATCCTGGCCCACTCTGTACACACTAATCCTTCCCTTCACACATACATTTGTCCTCACTTCAGTTTCCATCCCCTTCACTCCCCTCCAAGGACGGAATGACTTTTCCCTCTCTTGGTTCCTTGCGCAGCTTCCCAAATCCTCCTGATGCTCACCTCAGCATTATTGACTATCCTCCCTGCCCTGTCTTCAGGTATATTCCACATTATTTTGGCTCACGTTACTCTATGTATTTCCAGAAGTACAAGTGTTTTTTAATGAGTTCTGTAGGAAACTTCATGGTGCTTTATTTATAACGATAATAGCTCTAAACCATATTATGAGATCATCCAAGCACTAAGCTTGACACAGCATAATGAAGTTTAACAGCAATGAAGGCATGATCCTGAGGCGCTGCTACACCAGGCAAGGCTTCAACAGCAGCAAGCATCGTAGCTGGCTTTCCAGTGACTGATTTCTCATCCTGCTGCCTTAAGGAGACTCCAAAGAGCTCTGGAAGGCAAACACAAAATAACCAAAGAGCATGAAGGTGGGGGCTGTTTCTCAGAAGCCATTTAGAGCCTGGAGGACTTTAACAAGCCCTGATCGTGTTGAAAAGAACTTCACATGAAAGACAACAGCCCCTTCAAACATACACAGGAGCCTGAATACAAGGTGTTTTTTTATTAAAAAAGAAAAAAAGAAAAAAGAAAATTTCTTGGCATCAAACATGTTTCAAAAACTATTCTTCAGATATTCTTCTTTTATAGGCTTATGTAGTCAGCCACAGGGCACAGGAATGGCAAAGCTCAGAGACTGTCAGCAAAGGGCCATAAAAACCTGCATCAACTGAGTAAAGCAAAGGACCGGGACCAGAAGCGAGTGTCTCCTAGAGCTAATCTGGGGGTTGGCTACACAGCTCTCATTTTTAGCTAATCCAGAAATGGCCTGCTCTTTGAAGCACAGAAGTCTGTCAGTGCAGAACAAGGCTGATGTATTTGTATAGGGCATCTCTCCTTGGACACAGCTAGTGGTTAACTCCTGAAGAGCTGTTTCAGGGACAGAAGCATTTAAATGCGCTCAGATCCTTATAACTCTGCATCTGTTCTCATGGCATTGTGTGTTGCTTGGATTTCCATCACAAAGCGTCAACCCTGCATTCAAAAGCAGAAGCATTGAGTTGCAGCAGGATCCCCAAAGCAAATGCCAGGCCTCCCCTTGGGCATGCATGCTGCCAACACTTTGAGCACATGCAAAAGAAAGAGCTCCGGTATCTACGTGCAGGAAAGCACTTTAAAGGAAAATCAAGTCCAAACCTTAACACTTACATCCCACAACAGGAGAATACAATAGGAAAATTTTGTCAGCATCACAGGAATAATTACGGTAGCATATATGAGATCTTCTGTACACTTCGATTCTTTACTAGGTACTGCTGCACACTCAGCAAGCACATTTTTTTTGATGTATGGCTTTACAGACCAGAAAACTCTCAATTTAGCCTGAGCAGTAGCATTCTTCTCATGGCACAGAATAGCTCCACCACCAGAAATACAGATTTGTCGATGAACATGAAATGGTTGCATCTAAGAATTTTGACAGCAGCTGAGCTACTACAAATGTGAACTTGAAAATGGAGCAGTTGCAGAAAGAAAGAAGAAACACTGGAGCCAAGGGTCTGTATTCGGTAAATCACAACCTTTCAGCTTTTACTGTTCAGCTCTTCTCTGGTCATTCCAACAAAAGAACTGAACTTTATTGTGATGGATTTACCAAAGACTGGTATCCAACTGCAGGCTCCAACAACCCAGACAACAATCTGTTGGATATTTAGGCTTCCCTGCAGTATTTTGAAAGGGCTGTCCCTGGGCTGCAGTTCAGCTTGACCCAGACAACGTCTGTTTTCCTCTTCCTAATCTTTGACATAATAAAAGCAAACAAGAAAAAAAAAAAAAAAAGAAAAAGAAAAAAAAGGACTTTTAGCAGATCTTCCTTTGTTTGTACTTCAAGCTTGGCATTCAGTAATGCTCTGAACCAGCCCTGTTACTGGCAGAAGGCCAGCAAAGAAACCTGAAATCAAAAGAGCTTCAAATGAGAGAATCAAATGAGAGACCAAGCATCTGATGTTCCCTATTAAATACCTCTGGATATAGCCCAGAGATTAAAAAATAGCTTTTCTTGAGAAGCATATATATAGATGAGAAGAGAACTGATTGTCATTTTACCCAAAAAAGGTAGTTAATGATTTTTTTTTTCCATTTTAATATTTTAACAGAAAGTTTATACAGTATCTACTGCAAATATTAGGTCATTAGATGATAAGAGCTACTCACTGACTCATTGACTCGATTTTATTACTAAGTAATAAAACTTCTATAACCTTTTGTTTAATATTAAACAAAAGCTCCATATAAAAATGTTAGCAAATGAAACAGTAACAGTGTTTGGATTTGTGTTTTCCTGTGTACAGAAACACAGAGATGACTGCTTACAACAACAAACTGACATTTTCCAAGGGAGAAAACATGTATAGACAGAAACAAAATTTATCCAAAGACTTTGCATCAGATTCAGACTTAAATTATAGAAGTTCCTGTTCAGTGTCTTGGGTGGTGATGCTCTCTTTTCATGGGCACTTCTTTCCAGGAGGAAAGGTACAGGTAAGGTGGATCCTGAATTAAAACCGATCTCAAAAATGTTTGTCTCTTTAAACCTAAAGAGATTCCTACAGTGGTTGGGAGGGATGAGGGTGGTGGCACAGGGCAGTGGACAGTAAACTCCTCTGTTCCTTTTCTATTAATTTCACATCTGAAAGCAACTTTGAGTACTCAGCTTCCC